TGGGTGGGTGGGTGGCCCGAGAGTGTGGCTGCTCTCTCCTGTCACCTCATGGTGCCCCCTCCCCTGAGTTGGCATCAGGAAGTAGAGATCCCTGGGCACTCTGGGGTTACACCTTCTTTGGGCACCTCAGACCTGGGTGGTTGCTTCCAGAGTGTCTGGCCAGAGCCGGTCCTGCTGAGCATCCTCCACCTCACCTCCAAGAAGAACTCGCTGAGTTTGATTTGGCCTGGAGATTGGTATCCGTTTTCTGTTTGGCAGCCAGAAAACCTGGGCTCCCAGTAAAGCAGATCCCTGGTCCCCTAACAATGAGCTGCCAGGCAAAGGGGTCACGCTGGGGCCAGGAGAACACTCAGCCTTGCCTGAGAAGGGTCTCCAGGGCAGTAGTCATGGCCGATGCTTCCTGTGTGGCAGGTGCTTGCACCTGGGCTGATGGAGGCCTTACTTCTACTCTACTTATACATGTTGCTGTGCCCCTTTTATGGATGGGGAAACTGAGGCACAGTGGGCAGAAATGCCTTGTGCCAGAGGCTACTGGGTGGAGGACCTGGGGTTGCCACGGCCCCGCCGCTGCCAGAATCCAGATGATTTGCTTCACCAAAGGAGCCCTGCTTCTCCTGGATGATCATGTATTCTTCCAACCACACCACAGCCATTTGTTGAGCACTTACTGTGTGCCAGGTCTTCTATGCATGGAGGGAATGGCTGTGAGTGCAACAAGACATGGCATGCAGGCTTCTGGGGGCAAAGACAGACCGGCCAATCAGTAAATTGTATGATGTGCTGGGAGGTGGCAGTGCCCTGGGGAAAAGAGAGGAGGGTGCTAAGGCGTTAAAAAGTGGACGGAGTGGAGGCTGAGGCAGGAGGATGGCAAGTTCAAAGCCAACCTCGGTCACAGGTTGAGGTTGGAGAGAGGAGAGGGGAGGTCATGGAGAGGGGAGGTCGGGTGCTGGAAGAGCAGGGGGAGCCTTGCAGGTTTCTGGGGATGAACGTTCTCTGGGGAGTTTGGGAGAAGCAGGAAGAGCCAGTGGCCGAGTTGGGGTGAGCAGAGGCTGAGTTGCTAGAAGAAGAGCTCAGGGGGTGCTGGGGGGCGTGGAGAATGACGGGCCAGGTGAGGGCTTTGGCTCTTACCCAGAGTGAGGTGCAGGGCTCGGGCTGAGAGGCACACACAGTTGTACAGATTGACTCAGGAGGTCCCCGGCTCCCCCTGACTGTGGGTGGGAACAGGCCGTAGGAGCAGGAGCCAGGGAGAGTCTCCTGTGACATCTAGGTCACAGGAGGAGGGGATGTTGGATAATAGAGGTCACCCAGGGAGGGGCAGAGGCTGGAGCCGGGCGAGGGCAGAGGACACGTGTGGTGCCAACTACATGCAGGTGGTGGGCGGCACCTGCCTGGCGCCGTCTCATTCCTCGCAGCCCCGTGAGGCAGATCTCGCCATTGTCCCTGCCCTGCAGACTAGACCCCTGAGGGTTCGCTGGTTCTAAGTCACACAGCGACGAGGCGTTGGGAGTCCTGATCCAGGACCTGTGCCTCTAGCCCCTGGCTCACTAGAGCATCCCAGAAGCCTGGGTGAGGAGTCGGGGTGGAGGGAGGGTCCTGGGACACTGGCACAGCTTGAAAACCTCCAGGAGCCACAGCTGGGTGGCTCTTCCAGCACCCAGGACCTCTGGAGTCGGCTCCAAGGTCTGGGAAGGTCGGGCATGGTGGAAGGGAAGATGAGAGAAGGGGGATCCGAGGTTCCCTTCTGACCTCTCCTTGGTTCCCCAGGACAGACGTTGGAAGAGACCACATCCATTTCTACAGTGGACCCAACTATTTTGGGCACCCATGGCCCGACGCAAGTCCCAGGTGAGGAAAGAGGGACAGATGGGTCAACACCCCATCAGTGCCAATAACCCCAGCAACACAAATCTCAAACTTAGACCAAGTAGGAATTTATGGATTCATGTGACTCAAAAGACTAAGGATAGACCTTCAGGCATGGCTTGGTCTAGGTGCTCAAATGTTGCCATGGAGAACTTACCTCTTGGTTCCGTTTTCTCTGGGTTGGCTCCATTCTCCGTCAGCTCATCTTCTTACGGGCCAACATGGCCCCCGAGAGGACTGCTAAGAATCCAAAGACGACAGAATTCCCACCTCCCCAATCTACCAGATGTCCCAGAACTGTCATTGGGCAGACTCAGGTCATGTGCCCAACTAGGAGCTGATCATCATGGCTGCAGGCACAGGAAGCTGACTGGTGGGCCTGGGTCCCCTGGTCAATGGCCACCATGACTGATGGCAGCACCTCTGAAAAAAAGTGGTCCAAAAGTCCGGGAAGGATGGTCCCCAAAGAAAGTTCCAGGGGGCTTTGATGGAGGCATCTGGGTGCTGGTTGGTGGTCAGAGGTATTTGGGAAATTTCTTGAGACAGGACCTCGGAGTCCCACTAAAGCCAACTAGCAGCGTTCGTCCCCTGAAGAACCACTCGGGTGGCCGGTGCAGGAGGAGGGGTGCTGGGATCCGGGGAGACCCGGGCACCTCCAAAGCACTGCAGAAGACTCAGGCCGCTCCCTGACATGGAGACGCAGTTGCTGCGGGAACGGGATCTGGCTCCTGGCCTCCTCCACTCCTCCTCCTCTTCTGCTCTGACTCCTGCTTTCCTAACTCCAGGCTCAGTCCACCCGGAAGTCCAGTCCACCCCCCAGACCTGGACCCAGCCTACTGAAGGTGAGTGACGCGAGACAGGGGCCCTTCACCACGCAGCCACGTCCGCAGCCACGTCCCCCCTTTTATTTCCCTGAGCCGGTCTCCCTCTGTGGCTGAGGTTGGCTTTGAACTTGCCATCCTCCTGCCTCAGCCTCCCGTCCATCCGCTTTTTAAAGACAAAACAAAGGGAACTTGGGACATCGTGAAGTCTTACGTGTACCAAGCAAAGCACCCACCCAGAGAGGTGCGCCGTGGCCACTTACCCCAGCTGAACCCCTGCATGGCTTCCCAGGCAGACCGAAGATCAGGGCCCCACCAGGGCCCCACAGACGCTCCCTGTGCGCCAACCCGATTCATTTCTTCTATTCCTCTCTTCATCTATTTTTTAAAATTTTTCAAAAACTATTTATACTTTTTCTTGGAGTATAACATAATTCAAAGAGGGCCCCTGAATTTTTTCGGTGAATGATTATTGACACGTAGTACCTAAACATATTATCCTTGGAAAGAATAAAAATAGAGGTCGTGAGACTAAATCCCTTTGCCAACTTGCCCCAACCCGTCCCAACCCGTCCTTGATCTTTTTCCATCTCTGGGAGGCCCCACAGCTAACGTTAGGGGTGATTCCCCGATCCTATGATATCACATGGAAATTACTGCAGAAAATATATTGTTGGTGTATTTCTATGAGTTAAAGGATATCGCATGAATGTCCTGCAACTTGCTTTGTCTTTTTTTTGTGGCAGGGAGTATTGGGGATTGAACTCAGGGGCACTGAACCACATCCCCAGCCCTATTTTGTATTTTATGTAGAGACAGGGTCTCACTGAGTTGCTTAGCGCCTCATCATTGCTGAGGCTGGCTTTGAACTCGCAATCCTCCTTCTCAGCCTCCTGAGCTGCTGGGATTACAGGCGTGCACCACTGTACCCAGCCTTGCTTTGTCTTTTTTAAGCAATAGTATGTTTGGAAGTTGTTCTCACATCGTAAAAACTCATGCTGCCCTTCTTCTCTGCTGTCTAGTATTCCAGTGTGCTGGGGCTGCAGTGAATATAGGCACACACCTCCCGATGCTCACATTGTTTGCTCCTGTTTTTTCTGCCACATATGGTGCCACAATGGCAGCCTTGTCTCTTACCTTTGAGCAAACACAGCACTTACATGCACCATCCTCACTGAACCCTGGGATAGAAACTACCATTATCTCTACCTTACCGATAATGAAACAGAGGCTCAGAGCAACTTGCTCAAGGTCTCACAGCAAGACAGACCCACAGCTGAGACTGGAGTCCAGAAATCTGGCTCCAGAGCCAGGGCTTTGATCCAGGATGCTATGGAGTAAAGGTCATGAACATTTAAATTTGTTTTAAAAGTTGCATCCTCAAATGGCCACACCATTGGCTGCATGCAGAGACAGCCCCCCTTGCCTGGCCCCTCCCCTCTTTGCTCTATATTGACACCTTTGATTTGTGCCAAATTGATGGAGGGAAGGAGATACAGTTCTATAGACCTGCACGGTCGCGGGCTCACTGAGGTCTTCCTCCCTTTCTCTCCCTCCCTCCCTCTCTCTTCCCTTCCTTTCTTTCTTTCGTACTGGGGATTGAACCCAGGGGTGCTTAACCACTGAGCCACATAGGCATTGCTAAGCTGCTGAGGCTGGCCTCAAACTTGTGATCCTCCTGCCTCGGCCTCCTGAGCTGCTGGGATTAGAGGCGTGGGCCACCACACCTGGCTCACCCAGTTCTTATCCTCCCCTCTTTGTTCTTCTGACCTGAGTAGAAACAACACAAAGCCAGAACAGGACGGAGACCCAAAAGCCGACAGGAATGGACATGACAGACCCAGGGACAGGAATGGACGTGACAGACCCAGGGACGCTCACGAGCAGCAAGGAAGGTAGAGCCTGGGACTGGGAGCAGCAACTTCCAGCTCTTGCTTAATTCCCTATCTAGGTCAGCGTCTCCCCCAGTACGAGTCTCAAGCACCTGTTTGGGGAATTGCTAATTAATTTTAAGGAAAAGAAAAAATTTCTTTTTTTTTCTTTTTTGGTGTATAGTCAAAGATATTTAGGGAACTCTGAGTTAAATTTAAACACGGATCTTGATGGCAAGACTTCTCAGCACCTCCATAAAAGCTCATTTGCACCAAACGTCCCATGAGGCAGCCTCTGGAAGGCAGCATTTCCCCAAAACAGTGGAGCGGGTGACTCTCCTTTGTGCACCCCCTCACAGGCTGGTGCTGGGATATGACTGTCTGTCGATGCTCCCTTTGTGTGCACTCTTCCCCTGTGAGGGAAGGAACTTTTCGGTTGCAAAATATAGAACACCCAATTAAAACAAAGAGGTTTATTAGCTATGTAAGTTCTATGAAATCTGGAGGTCAACAGTTTCAGGCATAGCTGGATCAAGGGGCTTAAGCACGGTTATTAAGACTGAATTGCTCCTGCTCTTGACTGTGTTGTCTTCCTTCTTTTTTTTCCTTTTGGTCTCATAATTCGGTATCTACAGAGAATTTCTTTCTCCTTAACTCCAGCCCAAAGCCCAGAATTGACCTTCATTCGGGTTAGGGTTAGGGTTAGGGTTAGCCTGGGCCACTCGGGCTGAGAGGCACGCACAGTGGTACAGATTGAGCATTGCACAAGAGCACCACCTCCCGGGCCACCTCATTTCCCTTGTGCATCTTCATAAAGATTCTGATTTCCTAGTGGTGACAGCAGATCATCTCATTCCTACAGAATCTATGGAAACACTTTCACCAGAGACGAAAATAAAGTCTCTTGGGAAATGAAGCTTTTCCATTTTGCACCAAAGGGCCCCTCTGGGAGAGCGCAGCTGCGCCTGCATTTCCCAGCTGATCGTTTAATTTACTCTGGAGTCTTCGCTGGGCTGGGTCCCTCCGGGTATCAGTCCTCCACCCTGGGACAGGGGACAGAAGTCAGCAGCAACGACGAGGTCATCAAGTCCAGGGGTGAAGGGTGCTGCTGAGCCTCAGGGTTGCCCAGGGCCTCCCCCTCCTCCGTCCTGGCCTCTCTCTTGCCGGGCACCTCGTGGGGACGTGGCTTCTGCCCGCGTCCAGCCCCCAGCTTCCTAGCTCCCCTGGTGACGTAGTCTGCTTTGGTGGCTGTGACAAAGGATGACAGGCTGGGGGGCCTGAGCCGCAGGAATTTCTCTTTCAGGGTCCTGGAGGCGGGAGTCCCAGATGGAGGTGGCAGCAGGGTCCGTGGGGGTCACAGATGGCCACCTTCTTGCCGTGTCTTTCCCAGGTCTGCGCAGGTGGAAGCCAGCGGCCTCCGGTCCCACTCTCGGGACCTCATCAAACCCTAATCACCTCCCGGAGGCCGCGACCTTGGGGGTCAGGGGCTTGCTGTCCCTCAGAGTCATCACTCCCAGGGAGGAACCAGACGGGGGTCCCCTAGTCGTAAGCCAGGTCACCAGCAGGCACGGGTCAGGACCGTGGGACTAGATGGAGGGGAGGGGGCTCTCCATGGCTCACACCTCCCCTGGACCAGGCTTTCCCCAGGGTCCCCTCATCACCTGTCAGGCCATGTTGAAGGGGCTGAAAAGCTGGGGGAAGCGTGGGGTGGTGGGTGCTTCCTAGAGCCAGGGTGGGGGCTGGGGGTGTGGCTCAGCGGTAGAGCACTTGCCTTGCACGGGGGAGGCACCGGGTTCGAGTCTCAGCACCACGTAGAAACAATACACAAAATAAAGGTGCTGGGTCCATTTATAACTAGGGTGGGGACGCAGGCCTTTTCTTTGGGGGATTGACTTTTTGTGTCTGAGAGAGAACCCACTGGACTCTGGGGGATGCTGGAGACGGGGTTGTGCGTGCAGGGCGGCTGAGCCAGGGTCCTGGGCTATCACAGGGCTGCCAGTGCCTCGCGGGGGGGGTCCTTTATCCTGCCCAGGAGGGTGTCACCCACCTGAGAAGACAAGTCAGAAATGATCAGGGAAGAAATAAGACGCAGACTCAGAAAAGTAGTTTTGAGGCAGAGCACCTGACAGGTCCAGCCCCTTGGAAGCTGGAGCCACACAGTTGGAGAGTGGCTCCGTTCATTCATTTAAAGGGAACGTCAAAGGCAGGGCCAAGGCTTCAGGGGTGGGCTCTTGCCTCATGGTGTCTTGCAGGGGGTTGGGGCAGCTGTTTTTGACCAGCAGGTGCAGACCGCTGCTATGGTCCCTGTGGGTGGAGGGTGGGACACCCGTGCCCCTACACCAGGTGCAGAGACTGGGGGAGAGCTTTCTCCCCATCTGGGGCCTGCAGTGATGTCCATCTGTCTGTCTCCCACCAAAGGCACCACAGAGCTCCCTGGGGGGCCATCCCCAAGCAAAGACGTCATGATGGACCCCCTGATCCCCAGCTCATCAGGTCAGTAACTCCCTTCCCAGACCAGAGACGGGGCGGTTCCCAGTCACTATGCATTTCCTGTTTCTAAAACACGAGCTCAGGACAGAGGCGTCCTCAGTACACACCTGTGGGGGTAGTGAATGACTCCCAGCCTGGGCGGGGGGCGGGGCATGGTCATGTCTGAACCAACGGATGAAGGTGTGTGCATCCAAACGACGCCAAAACGCAGTGGCTGAAAAGGCAATCGCTTATTTAGCTCCCGATGGTGCAATTTGGGAGACAGGCTGGGCTCAGCCGGGTGGTTCTTCTGGTCTCCGCTGAGCTTGCTCACGTGACTGAGATCAGTTGGGGGTCCGCAGGAAGCTCTGGTTCCTGGCAATCTTGTCCTCCACTTCCTGCCCACTCGACCCACGTGGAAAGGCTAGGCCCACACAGCCCATTCCTCTGTTAATCCAGCAGAGGTTCATTGAGAAACTTGTGTGTGGCAGGCACCGTTCTGGGAATAAGACAGACGGAATCTCCGCCTCAGGGGGCTGACATTCTGGGGGCGGGGGAAGACAGCAAATAATAACTGTAATAATACATGGCAGGTGGTTTTACTTTGCTATCCAGAAAAATAAAGCAGGTTCAGGGGAAAACTGAGGGCACTCAGAGAGGTGGTGGGAGCCAGAGCGTGTGCCTGGTGAGGACTGTGGGTTTCATTGTGAGGACAGAAGGGCTGAGTGAGAGACCCAGGTGGATCTGCTCCATTCGTTCTTCACTCCACAAGCCTCCGCCAGACTCTGACGTGTGCCTTGTCCGTCTCTTCCAGGTTTGGATGAGGATGACCCCTTCTACTATGGTAAGTCCGCCCTGGGACGGTGTGGGAGAAGGAAAGCCAGAGGCCCCTCTGATGGTCCACCTCCACTTCTCTCTCTGTAGATGAGGCCACTCTCCGGAGGCGGGGACTCCTGGTGGCAGCTGTGCTGTTCATCACGGGCATTATCATCCTCACCAGTGAGCACAGGGCGTGGGCAGGAGGGGCACCACGAGGGGCTGGGGGAGGCTTTGACCCGCACTGCGTCTGAACCTTCAGGTTCCTGAAGGTCCCTGGAAATGGCTGCTCCGGACCAGGCAGCTCTCTGAGGCTCCCTGAGAGCAAGGCTAGAGATGAGCGTCTGTTTGGCTCCTGTGGCTGCCACTGGGCAATGTGGGCTGGGCTCAGCTGGGCGGTTCTTCTGGCTGTGGCTGGATTGACCCATGCATGTGGTGCCCGTTTACTGGGAGCTGGGAGCAGTGTTTCTAGGGGCCTCTTGATCCTTCACCTCGTGTTCTTAGACTCCGTAAGGTGACGGCTTGCAGGCTCAGAACTGGCCACTGTCACTTCTGCCACATTCTGTGGATCAAAGCATGTCACAAGGGCTGGCTTCATTGAGAGGTCAGAAAATAGACTTCCCTTGTTGATGGGAGGGAGAGACAGAGTCAGATTGCAGGGAAGAGGGACGTGGAGAGGGAGGGTTAGGAAACTGGGGCCATTTAGTCAACATAGCCATGCACAGACCTGGAAGGGAACAAGGGGTGAACAAGACTGGGTAGACTAGGGAGAAGGCGGAGGAGGACCAGATGGCCCCCCAAAGCAACCACAGCCACCCAGTGGAACTAGAATAGGGGCCTGGAGCTGCAGAGTAGTGACCTTTTCAAGAGCTTATTGTTTCTGTAAAATCTTCCCCTGCTTACCCGTTGGCAGCTGTGACAGTCAGGGTCATGACAGGTGACAGATGGACCCTTACAAGGTTAACTGAAGGTTTAAAAGAAGAGATACTCATCTATTTTCCTTTGCTATAACAAAATGCCTGAGTGGGGGGTACTTACAAAGAAAAGGGGTTTATTTATATCACAGTTGTAGAGGCTGAGTCCCAGATCAGGCAGCCCCATGGGTTTGGCTTCTGGTGAGGGTCACTCGGCTGCATCCCATCATGGTGGACAGTCTCATGATGGGAGTGTGGGTGAGAGGAGAGATCACGTGATAGAACGGCCTCCCTGTAACAGGTGGAGGGACGCGGTGACCCCCTCCCCCGTCCTCTTGTCCTACCTTCTGCTAGTGCTGAGGTCGAGGGTGCCGGGCCCGGGGAGGTGGCCTGTCACATGTGCCTCCTGGGGCCCCAGGCTGGGTGAGGAAGGGGGGCAAAGGGGGGCTAATAAGGAGAGAGGCTGACTTAATTTTTTTTTAATTCTGTGTGTTCAATAAAACACAAGGGCTGCTCCTTTTATAGTCTCTCAGCTGAGCTCTAGGACCCATGCCAAAGGCCTCTCGCATCCACCTTGCTCATCAGGAAGATGGGCACAGACCTACTCCTGAAGATGGGTGGCACGACACTCATAAGAATAAGCAGGCCGGGCACGGTGGCACACGCCTGTGATCCCGGTGGCTCAGGAGGCTGAGGCAGGAGGATCCCGAGTTCAAAGCGGCTTAGCAAGGCCCTCAGCAACTCAGTGAGACCCTGTCTCTGTAAAATAAAATAAAAATCGATATCAATAAAATCCAAAAATGGGCTGGGGATGTGGCTCAGTGGTTAAGTGCCCCGGTTTCCATCCCTGGTACCAGAAAGAAAAAGAAAAGGCAGGATTGGCCTCTGTCAGGGCGGCACAGCACCTGGGAATCAGGGAAGGCCCGGACCCAGGTCTGTGAGGGCGGAGACTGGGGTGGGATTTGGGGCCACATATTTTTCCACTGACAGATATTTTGGGGAATCTTCTTTATGCCCGACCTGCGCTGGATGATGTTGGGGGCGGACTGGTGACAAGCAGCCCCCACCCCTGTCCTTGGGAGCTCAAGGCTGATGGGGAGGGCCAGGAGGAGCACCTCTGAGGAAGAGGAACTGGAACTGAGTCCTAGTGATGAGAAGATGATTTAAAAAAAAAAAAAAAAACCCAGGTAGAGGGAGCATCAGGTGTGAAGTCCCGGGGGCAGGACTGAGGGAGCCTGTTGCAGTAATAGCAGGAGGAGGTCGGTGGCACTGGGGCAGAGTGAGCCAGCGAGAGGAAAGGAGGCAAGGGAGGACTGGGGGAGGCAAAGTGGCAGCTGGGAGCAGGTTTGCTTTTTTCAAGTCATCCTTGGCTGCTAAGATCCCCCCTTACTCACTCTGGCCTCCTTCCTGTTCCTGGAGCCTATCCAAGCAGTCCTACCACAGGGCCTTTGCGCTGGCTGTTCTCTCTGTCTGGAACACTGTTCACATATCCAACTGGCTCCCCCTCACCTCCTTCAAGTCTTTGCCCAGATGTCACCTCCTCGGTGGCCATGCCATCTTCAGGGAGATCCATGTGGATGTACCCAACTCCTGGGCCTCACTGAGTCCTTTTTTTTTTTTTACTTTATAGCACCGTCTATACATTTGACTTAGTGATTTTTTTCTTTGCTGGTCTCCCCTACTAGAAAAGCCAGCTCTATATGGTCAGGGATTTTTTTTTTTCTTCCTTTCTTGTTCCCCACTATATTTCCAGCGCCCTGATCAGTACCTGGAACACAGTAGTAAATGAATCCCGAATGCACAAAATAGTCTGCATTTTCCAAGGGCCTGTCCATTTGGGGGCTGGGGGGAGCTCCCCCCCACCCCCAGGGGCTGGCCCTGGCTGTTCCCATGCCTGTCTCTGTCGCTTATTTATGGAGCTACCTGGGTGCTTCCTGCGAGGAGGATCCGCCAGCCTCTCCCCGGTCTCCAGAGCACACCCAGGATCAATATGGCGCGTTTCCTCTGTCTTCACAGGTGGCAAGTGCAGGCAGCTGTCCCAATTGTGCCGGCGTCAACGCAGGTGAGTCCATAACAAGTGGGGGCCACCAACCCCGCGGGGACTCCAAGAGCGAGCCCCGCCCACTGCCTGGCACCCAGCCTCCTCCCTCCCTCCCCTCCAAGAGCCTACAGAGTGGTCAGTAGAAGAAGCCCCGCCTGAGAGGGAAGACCCCGGTGGACGGAGCCAGACCTGGGCTGACCCCCGAGTCCCACCTGCCCGCTGCCGCCCCGGGGGCTGCGGGCTCCCTGGGCACCGCCCCCGAAGTGACCC